TCCATCCTCCGGACCAAAACCGGGCACCTTAAGGAGCACTTTAGCCTCGGCCAGAAGCTCGGGCACGGGCAGTTCGGGACCACATTCCTCTGCACCGAGAAGAAAACCGGGAAAGAGTACGCCTGCAAGTCGATCGCGAAAAGGAAGCTTCTAAATCAGGATGATTTGGAGGATGTAAGGCGAGAAGTCGAGATCATGCACCACCTGTCGGGAAATCCGAGTGTTGTCTCGATTAAGGGTGCTTATGAGGACAGCGTGGCAGTCCATGTGGTCATGGAGCTCTGTGCCGGTGGAGAGCTTTTTGAGAGGATCGTGAAGAGGGGGCATTATACAGAGAAAAAGGCTGCTGAGCTGGCGAGGACGGTGGTGGGGTTTATCGAGACGTGTCACTCGTTGGGGGTGATGCATCGGGACTTGAAGCCCGAGAACTTCTTGTTTGTTGGGGAGGAGGAGGATTCGCCCTTGAAGGCCATCGATTTTGGGCTTTCGGTTTTTTTCAGGCCAGGTGAGTTGGGGAGAAAAAATGTGATATTATTATTATATGTGTTTTAAGTTGAGAAATTTGAAGTTATGCGTTAGAATTTGCGTCCGTTCTTGATTACGTGCAATGACTTGAAGTTGTAGGTCTTACGAATTATGGTAATCTTTATCTTGTTCGACGTGATGGATTTGAGTGCAGGATAATACGTATTTGATGATTTGAATCTTAATGGACTATGCATGCATTTGAGATGAATAAGAAATCCGATGGCACCATAAAGTTTGTTTCTTCAAAGCTTATTGTTTTAGAAAAGCATGAGCTTTGAGCATTTGCAAAGGTGGATTGACAGTAATGCCTTTGTTTGGTCGAAATATTTTAGGGGAAATCTTCCGAATTACGATAATCTTTAGTGCATTCATTATATCTCATCCGACGTGAGAGATTTGAGTGCACGATCATACGTATTTGATGATGTGAATCTTAATGGACTCTCAATGCAGTCGACATGAATCAAAAAATCTCATGGCACCATAAAAGTTGTTTCTTTAAAGCATTTTCTTAGAAAAGCATAAGCTTTGTGCATTTGTATAGTTGCATTGATATTTGATGGTTATACCTTTATTCGATCCGAATATTGTAGGGGAAACTTTCTCGGATATCGTTGGGAGCCCTTACTATGTAGCCCCTGAAGTCCTTTTACAAAGTTATGGACCAGAAGCCGACGTTTGGAGTGCAGGGGTCATAATCTTTATTCTTCTCTCTGGTGTTCCTCCATTTTGGGGTGGTAAGATTATATAGAAGCTTTCTTTCCTTTTCAATAACTTGTTCTTTTTTCACATTAGTTATCATTTATCTTTGAATGTAAACTCTCGTGCATTTTTCTTTCGGTTTGGTTACGTAGAGAGCGAACAGGAAATATTCGAGGAGGTCTTACGTGGAGATATCGATTTCACTTCGGACCCTTGGCCCACGATTTCCGAAAGTGCCAAGGATCTTGTGAAGAAGATGCTTGTTCGGGACCCGAAGAAGAGATTAACGGCTCACCAAGTTCTATGTGAGTAGTACATAACTATAACTATCCAAATGAATGTATTGTTAGTTCAAAACACATTTTCTAATTCTGAACCTTTTTTTCTTTGTAAAAGGCCATCCTTGGGTGCATGTTGATGGAGTAGCTCCTGATAAGCCTCTCGATTCTGCAGTTTTGAGTCGCTTGACTCAGTTCTCGGCTATGGACAAGCTTAAGAAGATGGCTCTTAGAGTATGCAAAAGAAAAAAAAAAAAATTACATCTTAAATGAGCAAATGCACCAATGCATAGAGGCGATTTTTCTTCTGATTCTATACGATTTTTACGCGGTCACTACTATAAAATTACTTATTCGTGCTCTGACAGGTAATTGCCGAGAGTCTATCAGAAGAAGAAATTGCAGGGCTTAAAGAAATGTTCAAGATGATCGACACGGACAATAGTGGCTACATTACTTTCGAAGAGCTCAAGGCCGGCTTAAAAAGATACGGATCCAATCTCAACGAATCCGAAATTCATGACTTGATGAATGCCGTTAGTATTTTTTATTCTTTTATCTAATCACATTCGACGAATTAATTTTCTTTTTTCCCCTAAAAATTTACTAATAATCTTCCTTTGTTTTAGTTGTTAAGCTAGATAAGTGTTTCTTTAAACTAGCCAAGTATGTTAATAAAAAACGAGTTATTTTTTCTTGATTGTTTTTGTTTTCTTAAAATTATTTTTTTGCTAACAGGCGGATGTCGATAATAGTGGCACGATCGACTATGGCGAGTTCATAGCAGCAACCCTGCACTTGAACAAGATCGAGAAGGAAGATCATCTCTTCAGGGCATTCTCGTACTTCGACAAGGATGGCAGTGGATACATCACACAAGACGAGCTCCAAAAGGCTTTTCAAGAGTTCGGCATCGAGGATTCTCACTTGGAAGAAGTGATTCGTGAAGCCGATCAAGACAATGTAAGTACAAAAACTAATGTTGTTATTATTATTATTATTATTATTTTTTTCAAAATTGTGATCATATTATTATCTTTTTAATTGGAATATTTTGCTAATATATATCATTTTTTTATAAATTTAATTGCAGGATGGGAGGATAGACTATAATGAGTTTGTGGCAATGATGCAAAAAGGAAATGGTGATTTTGGTAATAAGAGATATCAGAGTAAGTTTGATGTTGGATTCAGAGAGGCAATGCCAATGCCAGTTTGTTAACAAACCCTTTTTTTTAATTTTTTTATTTTATTTTTATTATGGACTTTGTAATATTCTCATGTTTTTATAGATCTATAGCAACTGGGTTTAAATTTTGGGGTTTAATGGAAAAGATATTGGCTGTTTTTGACTTTATAACTTATATTTTTCTTGATAAAATGCAACCCGAACTTCATGACAATTATAATTTGTAACGTGTGCGTCTTTGACTATACATACAATCATTCGGAAAAATGAAAATATGTATGGTTAAAATGCATAGGATGTTGCAGCAGTGTTAAAACTCTTGAGGGAGAGCTTTGCCGCCCTTGTGGTCCTACCCGGCTTGATTCCGGATTAGTCGGTTTCCCTGTGGATCCGAAAACCGGAAGGTTACTGTACCAAAAAAAAAAAAAAATGCAGGATGTTGCAAATTATGAATTTTCATAAAGTGTCAAATTGCCGTCTTTTCAAAAATAATATTATAGATTGCAAAATAAATGCGTATAGTACAAGTTGCAATTTTACACTAACGTTTCAATGACCAAACATTTTAATTGACTTTTATAAGGCTGTTATTTTTTCTCTTATTTTCTTAGAACTATGTTAATTAATATATCATCCTCACTATCATAAAGTCAATTTTTGCGTAACTTTGACCTTTTTTAGCTACACACTGTCACACTTTATTTACAGTCAATGTTGTTTTCTTACTTTAATAACTAGTTACAGTATATTTATATATTCTTTTTTGTTTATAATTAATCATATTTATCACCACAATGGACTTCACGAAGTTCCCCCAGATTATTGGACTGAAATTAAAAATCCAATGCCACATTAGGACAAACCCGGATAAATTGCAAAAAAAAAAAATATTAAATAATAATAATAATAATAAAAAATAAATAAAAAAAATGAAACTTGTAGTATGCACTTTTTTTTTTTTTGCCCTTCAACCTAACATGTTTTATTTAAAATATAACATTAAGTTCACCAAGTTCTATAATTTACATATTCGAGTAAATTTTGAGTGTAAAATCGTCTCAATATGGCAAAATTACAAAAATGGTACACTAAGTTGGTCGTTGTCAACAAAAGAGACATTATGTTGTCACGCACGAAAAAAAGACACGAAGTTGGCATTTTGGTCGGAACGGCACACTAATCACCCCCTTGATAAAAATCCGACGTGGCGTGATTAATTTATGACGTGGCTCTTCCTTTTTCGGTCTCTTCTTACGTGGAATTTTCGTGTATGCCACCGTGGACGGATGTACATTTTGGAGGGAAAATCTCACCACACCCGTTGACCAACCGAGGACCAGGTATTAATTTGGGGAAATCACACAATTCAGCCCTAATTCATCATTTCGATCGTGCACAAATTAGGGCAATTCGAAGAACCCTAAAAATCGCCACCTTCAATTTCGACCACAATCACTCAATTCAATTATCAAAACATTAATAATAGAGAATCACAAAGATGTCAGCGTCTTCATTTTCTTCTTCGTCTGAAATTTTATGCTCATATGGAGTGAAGGCGCAATTGAGGACTTCGAAGACGAGTACGAATCCTGGGAAAAGATTCCATGGTTGTAAGAAGTGGAAGCAAGGAGGGTGCGATTTTTTCATGTGGGCCGAACCAACTTCTCAAATCAACTCAGCAACTTCATCAGGTATGAATAATCAAGATTTGGCTCATGAATCTGAAATGAAGATTGTGTTGCTGGAGGCTGAAGTGAAAGTTCTAAAGATGAAGATTTCAGTGCTTGAAGAGACCAATAGAAAATTTGATTCTCAAATGAAGTTGATGATGGACAAGATTAAGAGAATTCACTTGTTTATTCTTGGTATTTGTTTTGGTTTGATCTTATGATTTTTAGTGAAGTAAAGAGTTTGTAGCAGATGGGATCTGTATTGTGCATTCAAAAAAAATGTGTGATCTATTCTGATGTAGTGAGTATGTTGTTGGTTGATTATGAAGTGGATTGATTTTTGTGGACTACAAGAAATGTATTATGTCTGTATTATGAAGTGGATTGATTTCTGTGGATTGATCTGTGATGATCTGTGCATTCAAGATTTTTTTGTTATTTTGCAGTGCTAGCAAACACTGAAAAATACAGACAATGCATTAGGTTACCATGCATTAGGTTATTTTGCAACTAAGATGAAGGATTAAAATCAATGCATTAGGTTACGATTAACAAAACTTCAAAAAATGAGCCATTAAAAACACCAACTAAACCAATCACCATTCACCATAAATCATCCATTATCACTTTTATCACTGTTCTCAACATAAGGTATAAGTATAACCATAACTATTTATTTAAAACAAAACAATATCACACAACAATAACCATTCAAACCAAAACAACCAAAACAACATCTCATAACCATAAACATTCCAAAACAAAACAACATCACAGTTTTCAGTTTCCTTTACCAAAACAAAACAACATCTCAAAACAAAAACTGTCAAGTTTATAAGAAATAGAATAATGATCCATAATCACAACACTTTCTCTTTTCCTTTACCATAATCACTCTTTTTTGGATTGTTTAATCCTGACATAAGCTCAGACACAGATGTGTACTTCTGTCCTCCTTCTTCAAATATTTGTTTCAACCTAGTGTCCCTCTCTGAAAGGCAACTTTCTTGACTTGGTACAAATTGACCCACCTGAAATCTAGGAGGTCCTCTAATGTTCACCCCAGAAGTTGACCCCCTTGAGCAGATTTATATTGATTGTACATTGAAGGTGTTGGAATGAATTTTGGGACTGTGGTTTGACTTTTCACTTGCTTTTTTTTCTTCTGGGCTTGGCCTTCACCCTGCAAGATAACTTATAAAATAATTACAACTATTTTAAGGCAAATTTTGAAATTTTAATGATAAAAAAGTATTTCTTACAGTTACAACACTCTCCTGAGTCGAAACTCCTATTGCAGGAGCTTTTTCTGTCATCCTTCTAGCCTGAAACAACATATACTTTAATTTTAGTTAACAATTTAATATAATTTGAATTCATTATTAAATTGAAGCCAACATTACAAAGTTACCTTCTGCTTTTGAGGCATGTCTTCTAAACCAATAGCTGCAGCATCAGCATTACCTTCCTTCATTAGAAGACAACCTCTCTTGTTGTGGCCTTCCACATGGCAAAAAGTGCACTTCAACCCTGTTTGCTGTCTTTTGATAGTATGTGCTGGAGTCACAACTCTAGGTTTAACCCTTTTTTTCTACTTTTTTTCGGTTGAACCTCATTAGGCTCAACTCTCCTTACCATAGTGGGCCTACTAGGTGCTCTACCATCATTAGGTGGCAATGGAGGGGCATATCCTGTCTTTCTCCATTCTTTTCTGCCATTGATGTGCATTATGGCTGGTGCATAAACTTTTTTATAGGTCTCTGTCTTGTAGCATGGATGTATGAAATCATCAATGTTCCAGCCTTGAAAATGAACAGCACTTACTGCATGGATACAAGGAATTCCACTCAGTTGCCACCTCCTACAACCACAAGTCTTGTTTTCCAAATCCACTTTGAACTGATCACCATTGAACACCTGAATTTGGAAATTGAAGTCATTAGACTTCAATGGGATACAGTCAACCAGGTTTTCAATATGGTTATCAATTATCTCCCTCACCTTAGGACAAAATGCAAAATCACATTTTTCTGCCTTGTCTCTGTTCAACTGCAGCCTTTTCATCAAGTAATTCATGATCCACTCAAGCATTGATAAGATGGGAATACTTCTAGCTTCTAAAATATTGCAGTTGAATGTTTCACAGCCATTATTTAGCAGCATGTCACACTTGGGAAACTCACTGAAATGAGACCTGCTCCATTGATGAGGTGGTTTGTCACTTAACCACTCATAAGCACTATCTTCCAACTCTTTTAGTGCATCCATTTTTCTTGAAAAATCATTGACTGTAGATGTTGTAGCTGCTCTCCAAAGTGCATTCTTAAACCCAATCCCTGTATAACCTGCATTTCTGAAGTTGTCCAAAAGGTGCCTTACACAGAACCTGTGATCTGAGTTAGGCAACACTTGTTGAAAGGCCTGAATCAGTGCTTTCTGTTAATCAGAAATAAATGTCCACTCATGTTGCTTTTCAATCTCAAGGTCCAATTTCAACAGCAAAATGAACCACTCCCAGTTATCTCTGTTTTCTTTTTCAACAATAGCATAAGCTAAAGGAAACAAGGAATTGTTAGGATCTACTGCCACAACACATAGTTGCACTCCCTTGTTGTGGCCTTTCAAGTGACAACCATCCACTCCAATGATGGGTCTGCAACCAGCTTTAATCCAACTTTCAGTGCATTCAAGCAAATGTAGAACCTGTCAAAGTAGTTTTCCCTACTACTATCATCAGTACCCAATATCACTGTGCTCCCTGGATTAGTCCTTTTTATTTCATCACAATAATCCCAAAGAAGAGCATACTGGTCATTAGGAGAACCAGTCTTTTCAGCAAGTGCTGCCATTTTTGCCCTATATGTTTGTGCTCTGGAGAATGTCACTCTAAGCTCCCTCACTTTACTGTCTCTAAAACCCTTAACCTTTCTGTCAGGATCAGATTGCAGCTCATGAGCATATCTACCAGTAAGCCATCTCGAGGTGATATTTTTAACCTTTGTTGTGGCAGCACAAGTATAAGTAGGAGTGTACTTTATCACTTGCCAGGCCTCCTCTCCTTTGATCTTAGTAGCATGCAACTTCCAATTACAAGCAGAATCAACACATTTAGCATGGACATACTTGCTATCTCTTCTTGTCAATTTCACACTTCTTTGGCATTTGATGGCATTAGACTGAATTGCTGTCCTCAGTTCACCTTTGGTACTGAAAACCAAACCTACCCTGAAAGTAGGATCATATAACTCTGCAGTGTTGAAAATAGGGTACTGGTGACTTGGATCCTTTCCTTCAGAACTGTCATCACTGTGCAAATCATCACAATAGACCACATCAGTGTCAGCTTTAACCGAGATGCCATCA